TCGGCCACGACTACGGTATCTCGCAGGTGTCGGACGACTCGAAGGTGTTCGTGGTCGAGGGCGACCACGACACGTTCGTGCAGGGCAAGAGCTCGGCGAAGACGGTAGCGATCATCAACGAACTCATCAAGGATACGTACAAATGCTAGACCTCGGACGTGTGATATAGTGTATGCATGTGTGTGTTGTGTGTGTTGAGTGATGTCACCCGTCTTCCATTTCTTGCTCAGCCCAATCGCCCGCACGGGTGAACTGATAGTTTTAGTTAGGTTTTCAACTCAAATCGATTCTCCACAAGAGTTTTTCGGAATGCGAAAGTGTATCGCGCATAATGGAATTCTATCTGATGCACAATTCCATGCGTCTCCCGGTCGAAGACGTTTTTCGCTACTAAATCTGGACTATAAGGACACGGAGCAAAGCGCTGCGGAGGTCATGGGATCGTGCTTGTACAATTCATCGAACATTATATTGAGAGCTTTCTTTCTGACGATTGGCTTCATATACTCTATTTTTCGCCATATTATTCAATGATTATAGTTTTGTTATTGTTCATTACAAATGTTTATCTGTCATACTTTGAAATAATAATTTGCATAGTCTTTTACGGTGTCTAACTGTATTGAGAGTTCTTTACTAGGGATTGATTTGAACGAAGAGGAACTTTCGTTTCACCTTTATTCAATAAATCTCATATGATTGTTGTCTTCTGTATAAATCACGTGATAAGCATTTGTGTATTTTGCAAAGTATCGTACTTGAATTAAAATTGCCCTTCATTGACACAAGCGTGACAGTCCGAGACAAGCTTTGCGAACAGGAAGCGTACGAACTTGCTGTGTTTGCGACTGAATCCGAATTGTACTTGCTATGAAAAAGTTGCAGCTGAAATTGTTATTCTACACTCTTTCAAAAGCTAAAGAAACCTGAAGAAACCCTTCATGCTAAGTGTAAAGAGTAAAATATTTTCATTAGAGATTTATTGGAAAACATTTGACAGGGTGGCGCTAATGTATTCTCATCGAACTGGTGGCACATCCCAGAAAGGAGTGTCGTTTGTTTGCTTTCATGGAGGGAAGAGAACAGTCATTCATTTACTAGGTCGTTCTCGGTATCCTGCAGAACTTCGCCTGTCTTCTTCCGAAGTCAGTGACTTCGCCACTGAAAGTTAGAGATGAGCGGAGGATGTTCATGAGGGACAAGAACACCATCTAAACTTCTACAAGTCAAGAAGCCCATGAAGGTTTTAGCACATGTTGAATTGACGCCGGAAACAATACCACTGGCACTCGAATCCAAAGTGGTTTGGACACTCAAAGATAGCGAAAAGTTACATTCTCAGCATGCGCTAGGATAATATTATCGTCCCAGCTGAGTCATACGCAACCGTAGGGGCTGGTTTGTAGCCATCGTACAGCCATTATCATGCATATCGCCAGCCTTCCATCTTTGTTTCTGCTTCTTTCGATCACCTCTTCTGTTGGCGCATTACGAGCTCAGCGAGCAAGTCGCAAGGCGCTATCGCATCTGAAGCAAGTACTGAACGAGGAGACAGCTAGGTATGATTTTTTT